GAGTGCGGGCGCGGGGCGCGGGGGGACGCGGCGCCGCCGCCGCCGCCGCTGCTGCTCCGCGGGGCGGCGCGGGGAAGGGCCCCGCAGCCGTTCCCGGGCCGAGCGGAGCGGGGAGCGGGCTCTCCCCGCGGAGGAGGCGGCTCCGAGCGGTAATGGAATATATAGAGCTTAAAACACCCGCGGTAGTCGTGTAGCTCCCCATATGTTGTGGCCTAAATGGGCAAAAACTCCCGTTCTAGTTCGTTTTTCCTTTTTTTTTCTCTATTTTTTCCTTGCAGTCACCTCTCACGTTGCATTAGCAGCAACTTTCCGTGCGCAGGTGTCAGGCTCCCGGTCAGTGTGTGCTGTCACGTTCCTGCCGGGCTGCGTGCCCGCTGCAGGGCTCCAATGCGGATCGCAGGGTCCTGCTCTCTCACCTCTACCCTGGCCGCTCTCCCCTTCAAATCCATGAAATACATCCCGGCTCAGGTCCCGTTCCCCTTTGGCACATCTGACCTTGTCTCCCTTGCTCTTTCCCTGCCTCTCTGAAGGGTTCCCAGGCTTTCCGCCAGCGGAGCCGTTACTGCTGGTTTTTAGACTCTGCTCAACTTTCGTATGGAAACAGCTGCACCCCGATATACAGTAAAGTGCTGTGTTCTTCTGTGCTGATTTCTGCTGTCTCTTCTGTTCCCAAATGCCTATTTTTATGATCTGTATGAGTTTAGATTTGGTCCAGAAAAACCTTATTCTTGCGGATAGCTTGTACTTATATAGGTGATCACACTGAAATCCACAGGAATGACTGATGTGTAAAATGACTAATTTAAAAAAAAACAAGGTTGTGAGAGGCTGTACTTCTTTGGAAAGTTCATTAAGGCGGGATATCTGTCGTCTTCACCTTAAACCTAAAAACCTAAGCCCTGTCATATCATTAATTATCATTAATGAAAAATACTATTACCAAGCTCCTCTCCGGCGCTGCTTCTTGCCTCGAGCCCGTGATGTGCTGCGTGCTGTGTGTAAAGCTTTGCGCGCAGCGGTTGTTTTCTGGAGAAGAAATTTGAAAAATGCCACAAAACTGTAAAAGCCGATTGGTGGAGAGGCACATCTGCTTGGCACGGTGTCCGCAGGCGCCGAGCCGGGGCGTCCCGCGGGAGCGTAACCGCCGCGGCCCCGCTGCGACTCTCATTTCAACGAGAGGCAAACCGGCCGAGTGAGTCACCGAGTGCGGTCAGGAAGCGGCGTCTGGCAGCCATGGGCTGTCTATAAAACCGTCCTTCCTCCGTGGCCAGCGCTGTTTGCTCCTTCTTCGTGGATCCGCGTGGCTTCCCCGCAGAGGCAGCTTCCTTCGTGCGGCCTCCGCGCGCTGTCCTCGGTGGGATGAGTCCCAACCCTTCCTTCAGCGCCAGCCGTTTCCCTGTGCCCCCTCCGGGGCTCTGCAGCTCCTGAGGGATCCTCAGCACCTCTGTGTACACTTGTGGATCATCACTGCAAAAAGGGAATGCAGAAAATAACCCTCATCTTTTAACAAAGGTTTTGTTGGAAAGAAGGTTTATCCCGTCCCTCATGTGTGTGCACATGCACCTTGGTGTGTATATATTCCTTAAATTATTTTGCTTCCATTTCCCATTTTCAACCATATGTGACATAAGGGGAACCATTTCAAGGCAGTTCTTGCAAGTTTTGTAAACAAAGGGCAACAGGAGAACGCAAGTCTAAAATCAGGTATTTGCTGAGTTTATCCAATAGCTTTTTAACCCAGTGAGTAAGTGGTATCTTTGGATGCGACTGCCTTCATGTGAGAAAAGGAGAAGAATTTTTATGGCAAATTCCCCTAAGCTGGCATTTCCCTCAGGGTCTTGTGGAGCGCGGATGAGACTGATTTGATACACTGCATTTTGAGTGTGGGAACAGAAAACTTGGTGTAGCTCAGTGTAAACATTTAATCATCCAAGAGGCACAGTTCTGTAGGAAACCTGATTTCCGGAGTTGTGCTGCTCACAAAGCTCTTTGTTTCCCATTGCTGCATCCCCAGGGCACAGCTCGTGCTGTCCCTGTGCTGCCAGGCACGCGTTTGCGCAAGTGCAGCGAGTACAAGGGGGCTGTGATCTCAGTAGTTTCTTTAGCCATAACTTATTTTGACAAGAATTGGCTGTTTCAAAATTCATTTAAGTTGATAAGCAAAATTCCTGTAAAAAAATAAAATGAGGCAAAACCAATTGTTACTCATCCTGAGTCAGGTTGATAAATGTCTTTATTTGACTGGGAGGACAAATCTTGGATCATTTGTAGCAGTGAAACAGTGTTGGCTTTTTTAACCATTAAGCCTTGTCTGGTGTAGAAGGGGTTTCTTGGGCAGCTGCGGCCTGACCTGGGGACTTGTTGTGAGGTACATGAGCACACTGAGGTACATGGAGTACGCAGAGGTACATGCAGGTGCAACAGCATCCTTAGAAATCTGAGTCCTTTAAAACTGCATCGTACATGTCCACTTGAGGATCCAGGGGTTAAGTTTGAAACCTAGTGGTTTCAAACTGCTTTGGTCATCTAAAATGCAGAAGCCAAGTGCTAGCAGGAAATATTCTTGAGCTCTAGGGGTATTGACAGTGTGTGATTGGCAAAGAAGTTCCTTATCTGGCACAATATAAGACGAAGGTTTTTAATTACCTGAGATTGCCAGCAGTAAGAGCCAGGTTCCTAAGCAGCATTGCGAGTCTGGCCTGAAGCCTCCAGCTGTCCTGCTCTGCGAGCCAGCAGAGCAGAGGCTGTGGGATGGGTTTTATGTCCATGGCAGAGCTCCTTGGGGAACATCTCTCTTAGGGTGACGCTCACTGTGGTCAGTAACGTCTCTGTTTTGTCATGCTTAATTTGACTATAATTCCATGAGATCTAAAAATCTCAGCAGGTGTCCATGGCCTTCCTAGTGGTAGACATCCTTGAGTAAAGATCTACCTCAAGGTAGAGTTTTATTAAAAAGGTAATTCTGGAAGGTAATTCTATTTTCTATGTCTGATATTGGCATGTACCTAAGAAGGCAGAGTTTTATTAAAATTCTTAAATGATCGGCTGCAATGTTGCCAGCACGAACTGAAATGCAATTCTCTTCTTTCATTTGAAAATTTAGTGTTCTTTTTTTCTGCTCTGTGGTGTTTGAATGCTTAGCGCATAAGTATTTCTCTCCAGTAGATTTACAAAGAAACAGCTTTTCAAATGAAACTGAAAGTCATTCTTCTTCAGAGATGAAGCTTCCAGTAAGTTGTTGCTGTCTACAAGAATTGGTGATTCTTCAAGATGCTGAATTGCAGCTGAGTGAAGCCAGGGCATGCACTAAGCACACAGCTTTCTGGCCTTGCTCTTGGCTTCCTGGGTTCACGGGCTTAAAGTGAAGTGAACTTCACTCATTGCTTGTCAGATTGTGTTCCTGCATTGCTAATGACTGAATCACGGGATGATATTGCTTGTTTTACAAGAAAAATGACTCATGGAGTTTTGAGCTCTAGGGCATTTAATTGCTTCTGTCTTAGACAGCCCCACCTCAATGTCAAGATAAAGATGCTAAATCTCTCTGATAGGGAAGCATATTCTCATTGACACTTAACATATGTCAGGTTAATAAGCAACCTTTGACAGCATGTTCCGTCTGAGCACACAACATATTACTGGGAAGAAAGGCAGTGATTTTAAGGAAGGTGGTGACTTGAGTGACTTTAAGGAAGGTGGTGACTTGGGTTCTTTCTCATTGTTTGTTTATATGTTGGGTTTTTTTTTTTCCTTTTTTTCCCCCTTTTTTCCCTGAGATTCTTATTGTCTGGCCTACTTCCTTCAGCACAATTGTCCTTTTGTGTCTTTATCACTGCCAGCATCTCTTGTGTGTTACAGCTAAACCAAGGACATGGACCTGATATGAAGTCCTTCATATCATGGGATTTCAAGAGATTTCTTCTTTGACTTTAGGCTGAGGAATAAGTAGCAATCAGCCCTGGGACCTCAGTGGAACTGAATAGATAATGTAGCATGAAATAACATCCTGGGAGAAAGTAAATGAGATAACAAGGAGAAGTGTGAGATAACAACTTACCTGAAATTCAGATATCAAGTTGTGGATTGCTCGTTTTATTTTGTTTGTGCTTGATCTTTGTTTAATGGTATTAAAAGCATGAAGTAACTGTTGTTACAGTTGTGCTACACAGAAAGTCTGTTCTGTAATTCTTGGGAGTACAAGAGAAATGCAAGGCCCACGTGGGATAGCTTGTCCTGGGGGAGTTAGTTCTATAGCTAGGGAGTTAGTCACATAGTGTCTATAGTGAATGAATCCTAGAATTATTTCACTTAAGGCCACATGCTGCTTCCCACACTGCAGTTAATCATAACAAAATATCCCCTGGCTGTAGTAGGAGAACAATCAGACCCACAGCAGCCTCTGGGATCCCTTGAGCGGTGGTGAATATTGCTCTTTCTGTGAGATTACTGAACAAACTAAGGCATGTGATGTGTTGTTTGCCCAGGTGACACAGGAGTTCACTGACAGTCACGAACAGCAACACGAGTCTGAGCAGCAGCCTGCATTGCAGGCTTCCTCTCCAAGATGTGTTCTTTCCACTCTTGAAGAATAGCAGGACCTTGTAATCTCATTGAGTGTCATGCCCTCCTGGACTAAATAACAGAAGACTCGGGAAATTATCTGTGATGCAGCCAGCGATATTCTTCAAAACACCTTGGAACTCTTGACTTTCGAGAGCAGGTGTACCTGTGAGTATTGATTTCACCCAGGCTGGAATTCTCCTGAAGTATTCACATAGTTTTGGTGAGCACAAAGCATACTCATTGAGAGTTTTTTTTCACAAGTCCCAAACAGTGTATGAGGTGGATGTTGTTGAGCACCTGCTGAGCATCCTCTTAATGTTTTAGGCCATGATTCAGAAGAGCTGGGTTCTCAGCCACAGGTTTCCTGCATGATGTCAAATGAATAGGCACGGCCAGAGGCTTAAAATGTCACCAGTGAGGTTGGGTGCTGAAGTGATCTGGTACCTCTAGTCAAAGGCTGCCTTTGAAAGGTAGGTCCTGCTTGGATGGTGATGTTTCCCCTCAGAGGGGACACTCACTGTACATGCCACCTGTGTTGAGTCACTAGGTTGGAGGGTGTCATGGGCAAGGTGGAGAAAAAAAACAGCCCACACTGGATCTGGATATTCAGGCTTATTTAAAAACGCATGAGCTTAAAGGCCTTTTCCACATGAGACTATGGCTGGATGGAGGCAAGAGCAACAAGGAATAAAATTGTGGGGGGAAGAAAAGGTGTCAGGATTATTTTTTAACTGTTTTCTCTTAGCCTTCTGTGATAGTGATATCTCATTTAAACTATTGTATACTTTTATCATTTTACTGTTTCTTGAGGTAATTCTAGAGGAAAAAAATGTATTATTTCTGAGCGAGGAACAGTTTAAGAGAGATGATAGCTGGTCCCTGTCCAAACTTTGTGCACTATAGTCACTGTAGCCTGAAAAAGCTCAGGGAAGCTGAGGGTGGAAAGTGGTGGTCCCTGATGTGCTGCGGTTTCAATTCGCTTAGATGGAAAGGCAGGACTGCATGAGGAAATTTGCCAATGCCATAAAGATTATGTAAGTAAATGAATCTTTAGAGCTGTCAGTTCTCCCCCAAGCAATGCATTCTTTTTTAACTTAAATGACTGGTTTTATTGATGCAGAAGCCTTGCTGCATGACTGCTCTTGAGTCCCTGTGGGAATGTGGTAGTGGTTGTATGAATGGCAGGTGACATGGTTGGCAAATACAGGTGCTGCTCCTTGTTTAAGTCAGCAAGAAAGTTCTTTAGCTGTGCTGGTGAAACACAGCAGACTCAGCATGGGTTTGTGTGCAAAGTATTTAATTATGCTACCTTGGTAAACACCAGAGAAGCTTTCATCTTTATTTAGATTTGCAGCTAAAGAGTCTACCAAGGAAAAGTGTTCTTGTTACTCTGCTTTGTAAGACAGTAGGAGTCATGGGAGAAGTCTTGGCTCTGGGACAGTACTGCCCTCGGCTTTGCCAAAGCCTGGGGTTTTCCCTTCTCAGGTTATAGACATAAAGACTGAATTAGTTGTTCTGTCGGTGAGCACACACTGCTGCTGTGAGACACCAGTCTACAGAAAATAACTCCCTATATTGTCTTCAAATATAGGCTCCAACTCTCTGTATTGCAGAACTGTTTTCCTACCCCTCATGTCCTTGTTCCCTCGTTAAAGGTTATTTTTTTTAAGGTACTTTTACTGTAGAATTAACTGCTTTACCCTGATTTTTGGCTTTTCAGACCGGGTTGTTTTTCCTCCACAGCTCTGCAGTTGGAAGGCAAAGCCACTGTGGCCAAACATTGGCTCAGGGCTGAAAGTTTCTGTCATAAAAATGACCCTGTTGTGATGACTCTTAAATTGATAATTCCTTGTCCTGAGAACAAAATTGTTCAGACTAGAGCTGTTCAGTGACTGATTAGGAGATAAAGAACAAAGGAGAAACAGACTAAGGATAAAGTTAACAGGGGAGTGATTGCAGGGAGGTGTGGGAGCAGGAGCCCATCGCTGGTGCCTCCTGGCAGGCTCTGCGGTGCCCTCACCTCTGCCATCCCTGCTTGTCACAGCGTGGTCACCTTCTGTCACCTGGGGACAGCAAGCAAGCAAGACCTTGCTGCCCACATCCCGCTTTGTAGGGATAAGTGTATAAGCATCTTCTGACTGTTTGCAAAAACAGCTCTTCTTTAGATGCTTCCTTTAGGAGCTCGTTTCCTCGTCCAGCTTTAGTCTATGGGAATCCTAATTATGGAGTAGGGCTGTCACTAGCTTTCTGCTCTGCACAGTGCAGTAGCATTTGCCATCGGATGAAGAGCTGAAGGTGTTTTAACAGCCATTTTTATAAATAAATACATGAACACATTTAATCCCAATGCTTTGAATGTCACTTCTTTATTCTTCTTTTAATTTCTATTTTATTTTTTAAAGCCCCGCTGTAGTGTTTTTCTTTTTAAAGCTTTAGTTGGTGCTGAGGAGTTTACCTGAGTGCTATTAGGCTGCTTCAGTGATACACTTAAAATTGTTTTTCATACAGTGTCCATTCCCTTGTTGTCTGTCATTGAGGTGTTTGTGGAATTGTCATCAGCAGCTGTACATCTTGGTTTTGGGATTTGCAAATAGGTGATTTTTCAGTTAAGCAGGTATGGCAACAGCTGATCCACTTTCCGCCACTCCTCCCTCTATTTGCCCAAATCAGATCAGACATTTTTGAGGACTTTTTCTCCATGCCGAGAGATAAATACGGAATGCAATTTCTGTTGCTGAATGGAATAGACCATATTGACTGACTTAACCTGAGCACCTTCCAGGTGCTCAGCCTGGAGGTGAGACAGTTGGCTTTGCAACCCTGCGCTGCCTAACAGTTCGTCCTTTGCACAGAGTGGAACTGTATGGAAGGAGACTGAGATGTTGGCATCTCTCTCTGCCACCCCTGCCCCAGAGCCTCCAAGCCCAGTGCACAGGCTGCCAACTGGAACGTTTGCTGTGGGTGTTCCTTTCTAGGAAAGCCCTTTCGCAGCAGATTCTTTGAAGAGTTTTCTCTGTTTTGTCCTTGAGGGCTTTTGTGGCTCTTTGTTAGAGCTCTGACAGTACTTCATAATTCTTGTGGCTGTTCTGTGGAACAAGGACACAGCAACTTCTGTCTCCTGAATAGTTAGGGGACTTGCTCCTGGTCCAGCACTGCCTGCTCAGGGTGCTAGGACTGCTATGTAATGAGGCCAGTCTGTCCAGACTACATTTAAGTGCATTGAACTAGAGTTGTTTGGTGACAACGGGTGCCATTCAAGGGCCTCCTCCTAACACAGCAGGAATGATGGTGGATCTAAGGAGTAGGAAAAATATTGTTCCATCCCTCTGTGAATGTGAACAGAGCAGCCTTCCTATGGAGGGGAAAGGCCTGTCAGGTGCTTTGGGAGGCTGTATCTAGTAATAGCTAAAACTTAAAATTGGATTGGATCTGAAATCAATTGCTCTACATGTGGTAATTTAGGATTTATATATTTGATACCAACTTTCTGAAAGTTTTCTGAGTAATTGACAGATTTGTGACAGTTGTTCTGATCCTGTCATTGCTCATCCTGGGTTGTGACCATCAAGGCAGTAGGATGGTCTATTGCTCTCTAGGAAAGTCATCCAAAGAGATGACTTCATACTGCATTTCAAGTGTCTATATGTTGCTGATTCTAACCTTGTATATTTTGTTTAGTACTTGTAGTTTTATTCCAGGTTTTACAGGGCTGTGGTAAATTTACAGTGACTATGGGATTTAACACAGGAGAAAGAGCAGGGGAAGAAGCAGGTGATGAGGTTCATCTATAGGCACTTTAAGTCCTATCAATGAAAGAGCAACAGGATCCCACGATTTGACTTTAAGATAAACAGACCTACTCGCTTGTCCACGTTTCTCCAGGCATCATGTATTTCAGTCTGCAGGCCCAAGTGTTTCAAGCTGTTCTTATGATTTCTAGAGATCATGCAAGTCAGTAAAAGAATAAAAAGGTCATTTCAAAACAGCTGGTAGATCAGTTCCCTTCCTGGAGTGCACTGACAGTGTTACCAACTCCTAAGAGGTTGTTCTTTTGTCCCCTGCTTGTTTTTACCGTTCCTGTCAGATCTCTGCGATCAGCTGGCTACATTAGGACGGTTATTGAAAACAGGATCACAACATCGCTTGGACTGCCAGTCCTCAGGAAATATTCTGTACTAGGAATTCCCTCCCCGCAAAGAGATGGAGATCATCAAAGTCTGATTCCCTGTTTGTGCCTGTAGACCTCTAATTTGGGAGGAGAATTTGAACTTTTTTTCATTTCTTTTCACTGTGATTTCTTTGCTTTTCCTACTTACATTTACTGTGATCTTAGAAATATTGCTTAGTATAGTACTGCAAAATTAGATTTTTTTGGCCGTATGGGCTAACTGTGAATTTATATTAGCCTGAGTGCAAGTGGGATCTGGTTTGGCCCTGGAGTGTGTTAACTACATTTGCACTGTGAGGATGATGTAAATGGCAGCGGGTTGGCAGATCAACCCACGTCATTGCAAGTCTAGCGGCCAGAGTCCCCAGAGGAACCATAGTTACTTGACAGGAAAATGCTGCTTTGTATTTTTCAGTAGTTTCAGAGGGTTGGGAAGTGGACAAATCATCACGAGAGGCAGCTGTTGTATAAAAACCACATTCTGTTCAGGCAAAGTGTGCTAGCACTGGCATTACTTGAAAATGTTGGCTAACCTCTGCTTTGCATTGCACAGTTGTGACCTAGAGCAGAATCTAGTTTAGTGTGTCAGTCTGGGAAGGAAATCTCTTTTGCTAGGGAGTAGGGAGATTTAAAAAACCAAAAAGTTTACGATAAATTGGGCACTAAGGAAAATTTTATTTATGCTAAAGTTTGAGCCAATCATTTGCAAAAATCTCATCTGTGAAATGTAGTTGCATTTTTTTTGCTGAGTGCTCTGGACTAATTCCTGTTCAGCAAACATCTGCCAGGCAGAATAATTTCAAGCATTAATCCTTACAGGAATTAACCAGCCTGTTAATTGATGACCTGGGCTCCAGATAGTTTCTGGGGATTATTGCCGTTTAAATCTTAGTCACCTTCCGAAGCGTGGCGGCACGCCGCCCGGGTTTGTCGTGCTTTCCTTTTTTTCTTTTCCCAGTCTGACTGGTCTTAGCCTGCCGTCCTCTCTTGCCCTGCCGTGTGGCAGGAGGCAGAGAGGAAATCCTGCTCTGCCTCCGACACGAGCGAGGAGG